CACAACAGTTGTGCTTGACTGAAAGTCTTGACCTAAATAACAATGAAAATCAACCAAAAAACATTTCTAGTTCTTGTGAGGTATAAGAACAATCCCAGTTTATGAAAGCATAAAACTTTTGATAAAATCAACCCGGGGTGGGGGGAAACAATAGCTAATAACTTTCTAGTGAGATAACCATCATTTTAACTGAGTTTACTGCAGTTTTTCCAAGCACTTTAAACTTAAGAACTTAATGGCATGTTGACCACGAGAAAATGATTTTGTGCTGAATTACCCACCATTTGGTTATTTCTGGCCCTTCCCACCACCTGGTCATGGCTCTGGACACCACTGCCAGCCACTAGCCTACAACCACACATGGTTAAATTTGGGACAAAGAATGCAGAGAGGAAACAAACTTGTTATATATGTAAATAACAGGGAGGAACTAGCCCTTGTTAATTAATCTGCTCCAGGAAAATGCCATAAAGGCTGCAAGGCAAGATAATGTCCCTGTGCCTGAGCAGATAGTGCCAGGCAGCAGCTTGTCCTTTCTGAGAGGAACAACGAGGAACAGCAGCCCAACACACGAGTTATTGGAAAACCCGGTGGTAAAACTGTCTTGTTCTTAAAGAAAACAGTGCTTTTCCAGCTTTTCCCAGTGGCATTTTGGATGCCTGTGATTTTTTATTCTGCTTCTGAGGAATCTGTGCTTTGCCAACTGCTGCTCACCCTCCCTGCGCAGCCGCTGTGGCAGCACCTGCTTTTTCATTTGGGTTCTTGGCGCAAGGGAAGAAACGCTGCCCATTGTCCTGCTGCCTTCTCTTGGGATACTGTGCTCATCACAAAAGCAATTTCAACTTTAAATACTGTAACTGAAATGCAGAAACTCTGGGGTAAATGCTGATGGGGGGTAATGGTGTCACCTGCACACCTGGATCCCTTCACCCCCAGCAGCACATCGTCATCTCCTCTGCCCCAGCACTCAGCAGAAGTTGATGCACGATGGACTAAGGAGGAAAGAATGAGCAAGAAATGTACATTATATAATGTATAATCCAGTTTAAGGATATGGAAATGCCCTGCCAGAGACTGCAGGCTTGCTTTACACTGCATTTTCTCATAAGAACAGAAAAGGGGTTTCTGGAGTTCAATGGCAGGAACTGGCTGATGCCAGCGGAGATCCAAGCAACAACCAGTCAGTAAGCACGGACATTCTACAGCACAGGGATGTCCCTGCATAAACCCCCCCTGGGTCACTATCCCATCCCTCATAGTCCAACCTCCCCAGCCCAGCCTCTTTCAAATGAACCCATGAAATTACAATTTCCAGATGACTTTGTTTTGTGGGACTCAGCAAATTCACAGCTTGGGCCATGGCCCTGCCCTGCCCTGCCTCTATGCAGATCCTCCTCCACCCAGGAACTCTCATTGCCTTCCCTGATAAAATCAGTGTGCCTTTAAGGTTCTCCAGATTTAACTCAATCACATTCTTGAGGGGTGGCAGGAGCTAAGAGAAATAAAGAAATCAATTACTGGATGAGAGACAGGCTTGAACAGAGTTCCCAAATTCTGGGAAGGGTGCATTTCAATGTTGATTAGAAAGGTGTGGTTTTGTCAGATGTTTACAAGCCTGTTTTTACAGACCTTCTCCAGGCACAGAGGGCATTCCTGTACAAAGCATTCCAGAGGAATTCTATCCGAATCCTGCAGTGACAACATCCTTCATGTCCTGGGACAGTCAGGCAGACGCAGGCACTGCCCATGGGGCCACTCAGCCCACTGAACCTTTTATACTTCTTTTTGCCCTTTGTGGACTTTGAGTTTTCCCTTCCCTCTTCTCAACTGATGACATCTGAGCTGTTGAACTGAACTCGGTAACCTGAGAATAATTGAGGTAACAGGTAACAGCTGATGAGAATCATGAAGTTGTTGAGGTTCAAAAAGTCCCCCAAGACCAAGGAGTCCAACCCTTCCCCCAGCACCGTTAATACCACCACTAACTTGTTTACCCAAGTGCCACATTCACATTTTAAATCCATCCAGGGATGGTGACTCCACCACTGTCCTGGGCAGCTTGTGCCAGTGCCTGACAGCCCTTTTGGGGAAGAAATTTTATTTCCATAGAAATGTGTGTTCCCTGAGCAGCACCAAATCAGAAACATTTCCAACATCACATCAGACTAAGCTGTTTAATGATGAATTGCACAGTTCAGCCTTCAGAAAGTGGGGCTGAATGTACAACATCGCTTCTCTTTCTTTCAATCCTGTGCCAGTCACTTATTTAATTTACTCACAACAGCACTGAATATAACTTAAAACACTCTGTTGTTTATTTAGTGTATTATCTTCAATATCCAGCTCAATTTTTTAATCATCAGAATTACTGAAACAGGCAGTTCAGACTCACAAAAATGAATTTTTCCATCCAATCTTAGTTGTATCTTTGAAAGGTTGTTTTCAGTCCTAATTAAAATCTATACACCAAAACTACCAGTTTTCCAGTAAAAGCAACATCGATGAAAATAAAATCGGTAGGACCCCCTGCCTTTCAAACACTGCATTGATTGTTTTTCATAAGACAATCTAAGAATAATTTAATTCACCCATCAGAACAGCCACGGAATAAACCCCTCTGAGGGCAGAGTGAAAGCACAGTGGAGCAGTGCCCACCACGGCCATGGGTCAGCCAAGCATGGTAGAGCTTCCCACTGCTCCCACTGTCTGTGCCTCATCCCAGCCCCATGCCAGGCACCTTCAGGGCTGTGCAACATTCCCATCTGCTGACTACAGCTTTGTCCCAGGGGAGAGGTGTGCATAAAGTGTCCCACAAGAGGACAGACCTCGTGTCTCATCATGAGGCCACAAGAGCACATCCAGCCACCCATGTTGCACGGGGGTCGCGTTCCCCAGCACGCAGCCTCAGCAGGGTGGCAGACCCAGATATAAAAGTACAACTTGATAACCTTTGTGTGAACTGAATACACTCATCAGAAACACAATTTGAACAAAAATTGCATCTTCTAACATACCACGAAGAGGGAAGAAGGTCCCTGGAGGAAAGCTGGGGCAGCTGCCAGAGAAGTAGGCAGGGCATTAGGAAGCACTGGGCACTGGCATCAGCTCCCACTTATCTCAGATGCTCAGTGTTCTCCATCCTGACCTTCAGAAAGAAGCAAAGTGACTTGATAAGTAGAAGCACAAGGCTTTGTTTACAGTTGACCGGAATAAACTCTGCTTGTAGCTTTTGGGTCAGCGGAACAGCTGGAATAATTGCCTGGATGGCGAAGAGAATGCTGAAACAGCTCTTACTCATTTCATCCCCTCATCCCCTGCCACTTGGGTTTTACACAATGAAACCCTGTGGTCACGTGGGGAAGACAAGGGACAATGGGTACAAGTTGCACTGGGAGAAATTTCGTCTCAGTTTAAGAATTTTTTTTGCCATGACAACAACAGTCACTGCAACAACCTCCCCAGGGCCATGGAGTGTTCAAGAGGTAAGTGGACACGGTGCCAGAACCTCATCTGGGCTCCCTTCCCTCAGTACACTGCATTACATGATTTTTTGAGGTCCCTTTCAGCCTGGGCTGTTCTGCCTGATTCTGAAACCAAATCCCTAGCTTTGCATGTTTCAGGAAAACAAACCAAGAGAGAGGCAGGATCAATAGCTAAATAAGAAACAGGTTAGCTCATTACTTTTAATATTTTACTCATTGACAAAAGGTATCGACTTCCATTGATGTTCTACAATGTGTGTTTAAAGAGCAGATGATGCTTTACAGAAATATTTGGAGTGCACTAAGAAAAAGAACAATTACCCCCATGACAGAAAATCTATTTTTGTTTGCCATCATTTTTCATTAAGAAGAGCATCCACAGCAAAAAATGATGTATCAAGAGGCAGAGCTCCTTTCTGAGCTCCCAATTTGTGTACTTAGGGAGCAGCTCTACAGAATTTAATTGAAAATACTACATTTCTGCGGATTTATTGATCAGATTTATGGAATTTAATCAAAAGTTACATTTGTGCTACAGAATTTAAAAACTAGATAAAGATGATGATTTTGTGCTGGATGTTACAGACTTCTGAAAAAATCTGGAATATACTTTTCTGTTTCTTTTGAATTTCACAAGTTTCATTCCACAATAAATTCTGTGGTACTGATCACAAAACACCCACGCAAACAGCACTATTTAGGCAACATTATCTTGTTGCTTTAGTTTCGTTAAGTGCTATACCAGAAATCTCAGCTGCACATGCAGCCAGTTATTTCTACCTGTGAGCAGCTATTCCCACCCATCTGGGAGTCTGACAGAGCAGTTCCTTCAGGTAAAACTTCTTGAAAGCATTTAGGGTTTAAAAAGAGGTTTTAGGACTTGACCCATATTTTCAAATTATTCAGTGATAAAGTTTAAAAAAACTCTACAATACTTAGAGAGCCTGAATTTTTACAATCACAGTTTTTATTAACTCTTACCTTACATGTAGACGAGGGAATGGTTTCCCGCTGAGAGAGGGCAGGGTTAGATGGGATATTGGGAAGAAATTCTTCCCTGTGAGGGTGGTGAAGCCCTGGCACAGGTCACTCAGACAAGCTGTGGCTGCCCCATCCCTGGAAGTGTCCAAGGCCAGGCTGGACAATGCTTGGAGCAACCTGGGATAGTGGAAGGTGTCCCTGCCCGTGGCAGGGGACTGGAACCAAATGGATGGTCAAATCCCTTCCAACCTAAACCACTCTGGGATTCTGATGAAGGTGATTTTCACAATTTGGTTTGGTACAACTCTTTAAAACTCAATTTCAGTAGAGTAGCACCTCAACACTTGAAGCATCTACCGCAATGAACATCACACTCTCAGTGAAAGCCCAGACCACAGAGCCTGAGTATGGGGCTGGACCACTCCACTCCTTCCCCAAATCGGGTGGAAGGACATCCCCTCCAGCCTGAGGTGGAGGAGCAGCATCAGGATCTGCCGCCCACCCTCCCAAACCCCTGGAGAGACGAACCCCAGCAGAAGACACAACCCCTGTCATTTGCTGCAGCCCATTAAACAGCCAGAAGTGCCCGAGATTGGGTCCCTCCAATCTATTCCATTATGGATTAGGTGGAGTCACTGAAGAAAACCGTTAGGACTGTTTTGCTGTCACATCACCTGGAATGACTTAAAGATTTACTGGAGAGTTCCCCCCTGCACAGCCAGGGCCTGGCTCAAGTTCAGTATGTGCAGAAGTAGGTCCTTGTGCTTATCCACTGAAATCAGAATTCAAGCTGAATTTCTCATTTCCCACGGGAATCTTAAATCAGTCCTTTTCATTACAAATGGATTTTTAACTGTCATCTTCCAAATAGGTGTTTTGGTTTGAAAACTGGAAAGAAAAAGAAGACTTAAATTCAAATGTTAACTCAAAATGAAATAAAACATTTTCTCCAGTGTGTCTTATGATTTTCTTTCACTCATAACATTGAAATTTGAGTATCAAAACAGCTTTTGAAATGCTGACTTGGAAGAAAAATTCCTATCGTGAACTGAGTCACTGAAGACCCAATATTTAGATTAATACAGTGGGTGTCATTGGTATAATTGTCTTAGTTGCTTGGGAAAGATCAAACGTTAAGGAAAGCAGACTCTTCAGAATACTGGTCTTTCTTAAGTCAGATATTTTTAGGCTGCATTTTTTCTTTCCTTCCCAGAAAAATGAAGTTAAACCAGTCTATAGCAGTAATTAAATCCTAATTCTTCCATTTCTTTTTCAAAGATATATTCTACAAATGGAGCTTGACTTTTTTTTGTCATGTCCTAATAGATTACAGAGGAAATTTAGTAATTTTCTTCTATCCTGAATAACTCAGTGGTGCAAAATAGATGTTAAACAAGGAAAGAACAATTTATTTATCTGCTCTTGTGTTCCCTTTACTTCAATTTGCATGTAAGCTGTTTGGCTAAATGGTGGGATGGGGAGGATGTGAACACTGCTCTCACCCTGTTCTGCTGATGTAATGACAATGGGAGGATTATTTCTTAATTTTCAGTGTGGTAAGTGGGTAATTATTGTCCAATTAGACTTGCTATTAACCTCTCTGTATCTCATTTTGCCATCCATAAAACAAGAATAACAGCACTTACCACTCTCACTGGGATTCTGCAGAGATTTATTAGTTAATGTACGTACAGCACAATGAAAATGAAAAGCTCTGCACATTGGTGAGGGCAGGATTATTAGTAATGAATCGTCCTTAGCATTGTTAGTGTGGTTATAGCTTTGGGAACTTGGTGTGGGAGTTGATGCCTGGCAATAGGGTGGACCCCTAAGGGATCTCTTGTGAACTTTGGAGCTTGAGCAGTCGGATGGGGAATCTAGAAAATGCGGTCTATGGAATGACAAGGTTTTAATTGTTGCAGATATGAATGTACTTTTTCCTTAAGCATAAGGAAAAAATATTAGGATAATAAAATCTCTTAAAAAAAATCATATTATCTGGAAAAAAAAAATTCTCTTCTTAAACTCTTCTTCCCTGAACCCATCATACCTGAGCACATACCTTGTGTCATATCTTGTCCATAACACACTGGTTCTTTAGAAGAGAGCTCTAAGGGGATGGAGGAGACACCTGGAGAGGCCACCTGTGGCATTGGTCGTAGTAGGACTGGAGCTGGACAGTCACCTGCAGAAACATGGGAAAAGGGAGAGGGGACAGGAACATCCATCAGGTATTGGCACAATTGTTGGTAACGGCCTGGGGACACAGGTGGTGGCTGTGCTGGGAGAGGCTCTGTTACTGCCCAGCCCTGGCTCCTGCTGCCCTGTGATGTCTCCTTCCCACTTGCACGGGTGTGAACTGGGAGCTGCAATTTATCTCTTTTACCACAGAGATTCCTTTGAATCTGGGAAACTCCCACATCAGAATGATGCTCCTTGATGGACCCTCTGGAGACAAGGCTTGTGCCAGTGCCTGTTGTTGGAGGACCCTTTGGTTCAGCACACTGCTTGAAGTAGCATCAGAAGCAGAGCTGTTCAAGCAGGGACTGGTTAGAGTAAGCTCAATAACTACTGTGAATCCAGTGCTAGCTCCCAATCTCAGACATAGGGGAAGATAAAAAGAAGAAGCGGAAACCTCATATGGTGGTTAAGATAATATCTTCTGAATTTTTACCGAGTTTTATCATACCAACATGCTGTTACTTTTTATGCTGAAACAAATTGGAATAAAAACAAAAATATAGAAAAATCACAGTATTTAGCATGAGCTTGAAGTCACTAACACAGCCTCCAAACAGAACTCGCCCCTGAGAAGCCACTGCCTTTGATTTGTAGCCTCGTGCTGCCGAGGCCCCCCATGACCCTCCCGTTTGCACAGAGGCCTGTGTCACAGGGGTTTGTGCAGTGTGAATATCAGCTATTTTCGGTGTCACTGGTGAAAATCCAGAGCCATGCTCTGCTGCTCCTGCAGTAACAGCTCAAATAAGGAGCACAGGTCGGGCTCCATCTCCATGCTTAGCCAGGACACACTTGCCAACCTGGAGCAGCAACCAGCGGCATCTTGGTTGGTTATTGAGACACAGAGACACTTCTCTGTCCAGTCGTGTTGCTGATGTGTCAGGGGTGGACCTGCCACCCTGCAGAGCATGGGGACAGTCTCCACAGCTGGTCGGGATACCTGCTGGGCAGCACGAGGCTCTGTCTGACTATGGCTTGATATCACTCAGGGATAATTTAATTAAAGACTGTAGCAACTGATGCATGGGAAGACACCAGTAATGAGTGTATTTTACCCACCAAGGAATAAATGCATTTTCAGAAACGTTCTTTCTCCAGCTCACTTCTCATTTAAACATTTGGATGGTTTCCAGTAGTCACTGTTGCTCCTTCTCCCATCTGTCCCGCTGAGAAATACAAAACATCGTGCTGCTCATGTACGTCTGTGCACACACACACACACATCCACACAGAAACCCAGAGTGGTGTCAAACCTTCAGTCACACCATCTGACACATCTCAGTCGGTCCCTTGGTGCCAGAGCAGAATCAGGCAGATATTGAGCCGAAGCCGATGTTGGTTATTGAGATACAACAGCAGGAACAGGACTAATATCCAGGTGTGCTGCTTTACTGATGGAATTCCTGGGCTGTGTCCCAGAACTGTGGGTGCTAGTTAGAAGTTTCATGGCTGATTGTTTCCCACGGACTGTGAAAAGATGGAATTTCAACCAACCTCACAAACACATAAACAGCATTTTCTCTTTGAACAAAAACATAAAGAATGAATATTACCTGGGTACTCTTCAGCCTTGCCTGGCCCAAAGAGAAGAATCCATATGACCTGGGGCCACAGTCTCGGAAGAAAGAAAGTGGTGCCTCAATAACTCTCCTTTCATGATTATCCTACCAACAACTCCCTTCTAACAAAGATCTATGGACACAGAGCTGAAGCCAACTGCTTCTCCAGCACAGGAGATTAATATGGTGACACATGTAGGTGTAGCAATAATGTGTTAATGAGTTATCGATTTTTTAAATTAAATTTCACTGATATCATATTTTCGATCTAAATGAATGCATCATTAAAGCAATTAATAGCACGATGATAAGGAGAACTGATGAAAATTGCAACCAACTGGCACCGCAGGGTCCTCCCATAACACCCCGTGAGCAGAGCAGGAGCCTTGGCTGGGCCCATCTCTGAGGGAGGCTGGAAGGGACATGTGTGGCAGAGCCACTGGTGCAGGGAACTGGGCTGTGTGGGGCCTGATACGTGGAAAGAAAGGAAGAAAAAGAAAAGAGGAGGAAAAAAGAGGAGGGAAAAGAGAGGAGGGGAAAAAGGGAGGAGGAGGGAAAAAAAGGGAGGAGGGAAAAAAAGGAGGAGGGGAAAAAAGAGGAGGAAGAGAAACCCAACCCTAAGTGTGCTATTGAAGGGCCAGACCACCTGATTAAAGCTCCAGAGTTCAGCCATAGTGGCCCATTACAGGGCAAATCAACCTTCTCCTGGTGAGACCAAAGACCTGTTGCTCAAAGGTTGTTTTGGCTTTGTCTGTTCTGCTCTGCTGTCAAATCCTGGCCCACCACCCTGGAAGACAGAGTGCTGTGAGGACACTGCATTCCTGTCTCCCCCATCCTTCCTTCCTTCCCCTTCCCACTCAGAACAAGCAATCATCATTCCCACAGCACTGAAATAAAGGAATTTGATTTTTCTCCTGCTGATCATTCACATTTGAAGAGCATCCTCCTGAACCAGCACGCAGTTAGCCCTTCTCCCTCCTACACACGCCAAAAACAGCCTCCACTGGTGCGATTGGAAAATGGCATATTAATTTACAAGAATTCTAACTTGGCAAATAATTGCTTAGGACAGAAAACACAGACCAGCAATCTCAGCTGAAAGCCTGTTATTTTTAAGCACACCGTAAAACCCCCTAACTGAAACTCGATTGTTACATGCAGTCTGAATAAGAATAAATGAGAAAAAGATACATAGCTGGGATCACAATTACAGACCAGCTCCTGAAACCGAGGAGACATTTTCTTGACTGAAATAGAATGTTCAGGTAGAACTGTTTTTTTAAAGATAGTTTTTGGTTTTTTTAAAGAGCATATAATATTTTCCTGAAGAAGAAACTCTGTTGAATCTCCTACCCTTGGGTTGGCAATAGGGCTACAGATCTGGTTATTAATGCTCATCAAGTTCTAGCCCTTACACAGCTTCCACATGTTTTAATTTTAACTAAAACCTCCCCAGCTATTTTTAGTTTAACATGATTTCTGTAGTCGTACATGTCTGAGGCAAACACAGAACATCAGACTTACCCAATTAGGACTTTCTGTGGCTATTTCCAAACCTCCTTCTGAACTTTCTTCCCTGGAAAACTAGGAAAATAAGAAAATCTGAATTCTTCTGCTATAAAACAAAGACAGAAACATCCCAGCTGAAATCACCATCCCTGGAGGTGTTCAAGAAACATGGCACTCAGTGCTCTGGTCTGGTTGACAAGGTGGTGAGCTGTCACAGGTTGGACTAGATGGTCTTGGAGGTCTTTTCCAACCTAAATGATTCTGTGATTCTGTGAAAATGAGCTCTGGACAGCAGGACAATTCCCAGCTTACCCCATTCTTCTTGATGAAGACATCTCACCTTTCCCTGCTGTGTGATGGTGTCTGACCCATTGCAGCACCATGTAATTGCACTGATGTGACACTGATGAGGCTGGTGGCTCACCAGGGAAAAGGTATGGGCAAGCTGGAGACTTCAGAGTGGAGAAAAATTTAAAAATGATTCTTAGGGCTCATCTAAACCTCAGCTTAAAAGCTCTATTATTTAAACAAGTTGCTGCTGCTAAGAACATTATGTCCTTCTCAGGGAAAAACAAAACTGTTGTCTCATTTTAAAACAAGTGCTTCCTTTAGGGCTAATTAAGCTGACAAATCACACTTCCAAAGATTGAGCAGTTAAAGTGATGACAACGCAGCGATGCCGGGACCCTGGAGAGGAGCAATCGCTGCTGTGCACAGCTGGGAAAATTACTGTGTCCCCTCTGTATCACGACATTGAATGAGGGAAAAATAATACCTCATTAATCTTCCTAATGAACCTCTTCTAAACAAGATAATTCACAATTTTATGGTACACTTGGGGTTGCTGTGGAGATTTGCTAAGCTGCCTCACAAACTGAATCAGAGGGTACAAAACCCAACACCAACGGACAGCAGGACACTCATCACCAATCCAGGGTCATCCCCTCCTCTCAGCTCCAGTCACAGAATCACAGGATGGTTTGAGTTGGAAGGGACCTTAGAGCCCATCTTGTTCCACCCCCCTGCCATGGGCAGGGACACCTTCCGCTAGACCAGGTTGTTCCAAGCCCTGTCCAATGTGGCCTTGAACACTTCCAGGGATGGGGCAGCCACAGCTTCTCTGGGCAAGAGATGCTGCCTCAAGCCCAAGAACAGGGTCGACACCCTTTGGAGAGGTGGGTTCAGCAGCCATGACTATTGGATGGAAGATGCAATCAAAGTACAACAAGGTGACAAAAGGGAGAAATAAAGAGTTTTGGAGTATCTGTGCCAGAGCTGTGAATCTCTGGGAAAAGCCTTCTCACTCCTCTGGCCACACTAACACAGCAACCCTGGACACATCTGGGAAGGGAGAACTAAAAGTATCAAAAGGATTCTGCTCACACGTCACATTTTCCACATAAGAGGGAGATGGTGCCTGACATCCTCTCCAGGCAGGAGAGACAGACTGTGCTCCAGTCTGACATTAATTACTCGAGATGCAGCACTGTTAATCTCACACCATCAAAATAATCTTCTTACATTCACAATTAAAGATTGAGGTCCCACCTTTTAGCTATTTGTATGTTTAATACTTGCTCAGTAGGACTTATAATTATCTTTGAAGATTTGGATTTGAGTGTGTTGCAGCCCCTAACAGGAAGATGCCTCCACACAGCATGAATGTAACAGACTTCTTAAACCTTCTACAGGCTTTCGCTGACATCCCAAACCTACAGCATTCCAGGGTCCATCTGGCACTTCTCCTATCTTTTATTATGGAGTTTAAGAAGAATTCTGATACAAATCTCAATACTGAACAGTATAGTAAACCCCTCAAGCATCTATGGGGTTTTTGTATTTCTAAATAAATAATATTATTCACTCAAACACCCTTAAGAAAAGCAAGCCATCGGGGAACAGCTGTGTGGGTATTTCCTCCCTAGAGGAATTATGAACCTTCATCATACAGACTCTCAAGAGTATGAATAGAACTGGTTTTGGCAGGTCTGTTAATCCTGTAAGAGTGACCATGAGTGCCATGGCCAGGCAGGTACACATGAAACCTTTATTTGTTGGTGCTGGCTGCGGAACACTCGGTGCCTGCAGCCTTATTCCTATTCCACAGGCTCCAGCACAGAGCAGGCACAGATGGTCTTAGAGCACTTGATGAGCCTCTCATCGATTTCTCCTGATCCATGTGCCCTTAAATCATGTACAGTCACATTTGCATCTCAGGCTTTTTACAGTCTAGAGAGTCTCATGGGAATAAATAAGGATAAAGCAACATCAAGTTATGTTTCTGTTTTCTTTTTCCATAATGGAAATAAAGCTATTATCAGATCACACAACACTAGGTAAATGATACCATTGCAAATATCCACCAATTTCCGTAATGTTTCAATGCTACATTGCCATAATTTCATACAGTTTTCTCTTTTTTATTTAAAGCTGCTTCTTTCAGACAAGAGCTCAGAGCCCACTGTCATTAATGTGTGCTGGATATGTCAACGAACCCAGAGAGGGGCTGAAAAAACAGACCTTTGAGTTCCCTGTGATCCAGTGACTTTGTCTCTAAATCCAAACTGGAAGGAGCTTTGCTGAACTCCTGTACCAGCTGCTCGTCTGCCTGAGCCAAAGCACTGACCATTCCTGTAATTGAGTGTAGCCTGTGAATGATTCCATTTGGTGCCTTTCCAACTTATTCCCAGTTTATGTCTGTGCTCAGCAGAACTATCAGGGTCCGGGAAGAACTCCATCTGGCCACCATGGACCTTGTTTTAAGAGGCTCACCAGAGTGTTGAGGTACCCAGAACCACACTCTCCACCTGCCTTGCACCAGCCTCCTGTGGGTCCAGCCATGCCCAGGAGAGACAGGGAATATCAAACTCATCCCATGAGGTCTTGGGCAATATCCAGAGAATTCTGCCTTTAGCAGAGGTCACAGAAATATATGACAACCATTTATTTCACAGTGGTCTAAACCAGGCTTACACATTACCAGAGCTACTCAGACATAATATGGAAACTGCTACAGAGCAATCAAAATCTTTGTTCCAGCCAAAATCTTTGTTCTACATAGGAATCTTGTAACCACAAAATCCCTTTCACAGTCTTATCTAAGGGTTACCATTTTCTTTGCCCATCAACACAGTATTGAAAGCCCTGGCTCTGAAAAGCATTTAGGGATGTGTTGAACAAGAAGAAGACTTCAACTCCAAAGCCTTTCACTTCTTTAAAATTGCCTTGCACATGAGAATTGTCCATTCAAATACAGTTTTTACTCCTTTCTCAGCCCCTACATTCCTTTTTACAGAGCCCCAGAGAGGTGAGGGTGGTGGGAAGTTCAGTTTTGGGGTGGCAGTCACTGTCCACCTCTGAGTGGCTCCCCCAACACTGATGGCCAGGCTGGCTCTGGCAGTAATGAATTCAGTGTGTCTTTGTTTGTTCCAATACTGCCACCCCCTCCTAGCTCTTCCCTAACACAATCTTGTTATCTTTGGGCCTTGCATGGTTTTTTAATTATCATTATTATTCATATAGCACGATGCACACAGACAAATTTAATCACGTTGTTTACATGAGCAAACCTGATCGACTAATGGAGAAATTACTGATTTTGTTCCCACTGTTGGCACAAATGCAATTTCTTTTCTCACTCTCATTAACACAGTTAATGTTTATAAAAGTCTGATGACGCTGGAGATGAAAGTGTTTTCTCCAAAGAACAGGTAAACCATAAACAATAACAAAAGTTCTTCCTACCCCAATACTGCAATAAATGTGTTTCAATCCCATGATGGAGTAAGCGAGGAAAGTAGCCAAAGAATCAAGCCCAGATTAATCATATTTGATGAAGAGCTACTGGAAAGCTGAGAGAAAAATTCTGCAGAAAGACAAAAAAAAGAAATTTATGAAAAACAATCCTTCAGACAAAATATGTAATCCAGTTCTTCTGCAACAGAAAGAAGAGAACAAAGAGGGGAGGGCCAGAACAGGTAAACAGGGCTCAGTCAGTGCATGAGATGGAAGAGCACAAAACCCAGCAAACTGGAGGACAGGCAAGAAAAAAATCTACACAGTCTAAACAAAATATAAACCTACAATGGGCAAGGAAAAGAAAGGAAAAAGAACAAAACATACAAGTACCTCTTGCTGACTTCCGGAGTGATCAGAAAGGTCTCTCGCTGCTTGAACAGATGGGGCTGAAATTGTTCTCTGTCAGCAGAACCATCACGGGCTGTGTTTGCCTGGAAGGGACGAACCCCAGGTGAGAGATGTACCAGGAAGAAGTGCCACACAGGTACCTCGTCTGAGCATGGCCCTGAGCAGGCGGATGCAGCTGATGTGCCCCGTGCAGAGACACTTCATCTCTCCTGCCCCTTTCCTGGACACCCCTTGTGCAATTTACAGCTCCTTCTGCTCTCCCACAGCTTCATTAACAGAGGAGCCAAAAGTGAATAGAACAATAACCCTTCCTCCTTATTCCAGCTCATTTCTTGAATAAATCTTATGGTTTTCTATTTAAACGGAATGGAGGGGTGGGGTTTTGCCACATGTGGGTCAGTGCTGACTTCCAGAGCAGCCCTGGCTCTGGTAGCCAGGAATGGTCACTGCCCAGGAGTGGCTGCCACAAAGGCATCTCTGGTGGGGAAGAATGGCTCTATCCCTCAGGATTTGCACCCGTTGCTGGTCAATGTGGACTTGAAGACACTCTTGATAAACACTTCTATTTCTGTGTATTTACATTTTCCTTGGAAACCTTTCAACCCAAGGCATTGAGTCAACTCCCGGGTGGAACATCAGGAGAAGGTTTTGCCTACCTTCTAAAACTGAGCACAGAAACACAACTTTCCCAGAATTGCCCATGCAGAAAATCTTATTAGTGTACAGATTTCCAAAAGTACAAGGTACCTGCCTAGCTTCATCCCTTTATTATCTGTACAGCAATGGAATAATTAAGCAGATCTGCTGGCTCCCTAGAAAGAGGAGAAATATGTGGCTGCTCTGACACAAATAAAGATGAGGAAGGAACTGCTGCAGCTGGAGAGCAATTACCCACCAGCAGCACAAATTCCTTCTCAGGTACTTCTCTAATCTGGTGTCATTAGTGCAGATATCATGACACAAAGGTACTGAAGACCTTAAAAGAAGACACATCAGCTCAATGGATGCTTTCCCACGAGCACACTGTTCCAATCCCATCCTTGAAGGCAGGTTTTGTGCCTGAACACTCACCTGGTTTTGCCAACAGAGTGAGTCAATCCACAGATGTCTGAAGTCATTTGCTCACTGTGGTGAAACCAGTCTCATTTTTGTAGTCTCTCTCCACTCAGTTCCATGTTTTCCACAATATTCCTTCAAATACATCTGAAGAGTGTTTAAATATGCAGCTTGTGAGACATTTTCCATATGATAACCCTCTTGCTGCTCTGCCTCGGTGATGGACGGACACAGGCAGTGTTTGGTTTGAAGTATTAAGGAAGAAGCATTGCAAATGCAGTTAATGGAAACCCCTCCAGTGAGATCCCATTATAAGAACATATACGGAAGGAGAATGCTGATGACATACGCAAGATAAGCTTAATTATGCAGAATTTGTTCATGGTCCCACAAAATGTAGTTTGGGAAAACAAAGCTAAACTCACAGTACCCCTTTCAGAACAAGGCAGGCTGGCAGGCAGGATGGATTAACAATTTCTTGCCCTGCAGAGTCTCCAGTTCTTTCTGGTAAGAATGCAATGGGAGTGAGCAATGGGATTTTAAGTGAACAGGGATATTTCTTTGCTGACTGACAGACCTAACACTAAACATTTCTTTTTTTAAAAAGCAGAAAAAAAAATTGCACTTTTTTGTTTGTTTTATAAAAACAACCACCTTTATGACACGGGTAACTTTGCAGGTGTGAGGGGTCAGAGCCCAGGCTGGAGGAGCATTCAGGAGGGACACAAGCCCTGAAGGATCAGATATGATACAGAATTTGCAAGGGATAGGTCAGCTTCTCCTTCCAAGGTTATTTAAGTTGGGCAATGTCAAAAGCAGCAGGTGATGGAGAATAGCCTTGTTATCTGTTGGATTACCACGCTCAGATACCTGGGTCATGTAGAAGTTTCCCTGAGTGGATTTAATTGGACCATATGTTGCAATTCTGCAAGGACATACGTACTCATGGTTTGTTCACTGGGCACAGATTGCCCTCACTGCTCCATGTCCCCTCCAGAGACCATGCCCAGGGGACTTTGCAGATCCCTGGCATGATGTTTCTCCATGCAGGAGGAGAATAACACCTTTGTGAGGTGACAGTGGAGAAGAAACCTCCCTCCGTGACTCCCTGTCAGGGTTTTCATTAGGTGTGTGTTCGCTTTGCCAGCGTCTGTACTAGTACTCAATCACTAATGTAGGCTTTAAAAACTGGAGAGTGTCACTTCAGGAATAATGAAATTTCATGAGGAGAAACAATATTGGCTTGAAAGGTCTAAAACCACCGAGACACAGTTTTCAGACCAGCTGTAGCCCATCTGCTTTGTGGAAATCTGGATTATGATTTTCAACCACGGTCTTTGACAACCCTGATTAAGTTGATTGGATTTTATTGCATTTCTCCAATTTGCTGGTATTACATTATATTTAAAAAACAGACAGACATAAGGAGAGGGGTTTGCCTACCTGAAACCACACGGAATGTAAGTCTTCTGCCTAATGGCTTTTAATCCAAGGCTGTGTAAATTTTACCCTGGATGATCTATGACATAAGGAGATCTGTCAAGCACAAGTCATTGTGCTGTAGCCGGAATGTGAACGGACATCCACATTATCCAGCAGGCAGCAGAGAGATATTGCTGTTAGAGGAGAGAAGGGAGAGGTGACAAAAACGTCCCGTTCCAGGGTAAGCAGGGGTCACATTCCATTGTAATGAGAGCAAGAATCATTTGGCACATTAATCAGAGCAGAATGTCCCATCCTGGCCCAGGTAACTGAGGCAGAAGGGGCTGCAGGGTCATTACTGAGAACTGCCCCGTCTGGAAATAGGAGAGCACGTGGAGGGGGAAGGAGACAGGTTCTGCCTGGGGGAATCTACTGCTGGTCTGTACTTTAATGTTTCATCCCCAGGGTAAATGGCAAATGACATTCATTCATTCATTCATTCACTCACGCATTTTCCCCCTCCACTGGAACCGCCTGCACTGATAACCCGAGCACATCATCCAGACAGTGTTTCCCGGTCTCCTGCATCCCATCTCTCTGCCTCCAATTATTCCACAGCACTGGCTCTGCATCTTCGCCTCCCCCAGAGACCTTATCCTGCAGAAATACGTAAAAGCAAGTTTTTTTACAAACAAAACAACAACTCTGGCACAACATTTGGAACAAACTAATTCCTCTCTTCCTTTATTTTTCTTCCTTATGGGTCTCAGTTAGTTTTCCTCCTCCATTTTTTCTGATGTTGTTATTCTCACCTTTTTGTTCCTGTGCAAATGGAAATAAAAAAGAGAAGAGACTATTTCTGCTTCAGTTTCAGACTTTGTGGACTTGCACATGTGTGTGACTCTGACCATGTGTGTTGAGGGAGAGTTTATTGGTGTGGAATAAATGTCAGCTCTGACTCTTAAGCCTGCAAAGATGACTGACCCCTCCTCAGGCAGCTCTGGAACCAGCCTGGGTCTGACAGTAAATAAAGCACAAACCCAGGCTTCCCAGAGGCACAGACTCCTGTGCCTGAGGACTAAAGCTGTCCCTTTACCCCCTGTGGTGGGTTCTGTTGGAGGTGAACCTGTGTAAGAGACAGACACATAAAATACGACTTTATAATAAATTATGCAGGAACCATAAAGTCCACAAATACTTAGCTCTCTCCAGAACTGATCTGACAAGATTAAACTTCTTATGCTATTCCCCAGTTAACAGTCTACTTAATATTTGACTAAGCATTATTAGAATCAAAGACAACCAGAAAATAGCACCTAATTCACTCCAGGAAGTATGAGAGCTCGCTCAGATCGACTCACACTTATTTCAAAGCTCCTGTCCCCAACTTCATCAAAGGGATATTTAATCTCTTACCCATCATTTATTCATGCTGAGAGCACATCCAGGAAGCTGGAGCGGAGGGAAGGAGCCAGTGGCACGCTCAGTACTCATGAGGAGATGGATGACTTTCAAATCCTATTACCAACCGTGGGGCTCCTGCTAGTCAGAGCAGTCAGTTTTCTCTCAGGGTCTCCAAAATGCATCTTTAAACCAGTAAATAAGTGACAGCCACCCTCAGCTTACTGTCTGAACATACATAATTAGCAAAACTTCTCATACAGAGTGAGATAACTCCACAGCTTAGAGAGCCAGCTCAGCCTTCCCTGTGCCCCTCAAGTCCCGCGTGGGATGGAAGGACAGTGCCGTGGAAGAGCCCCTCATGCCACAGGGTGTGAGGATGAAATCCAGTCAGACCCACTGGCCGGGCCCTCCGCAGCACTGGGGTGGTTTTGCCGTGACTTTTCTTCCTCATGGGGCACAAGGATGGGGCTGTGCAACCCCCCCTAAATCCAGGGCACTGCAGGCAGTTGTTCATGCTCAGTGCTGCCTGTCCAGGGAGATAAAGTTCACTCTCAAAGGTAACAAACTCCACTTCCTAATATTTAAAACTCCAAAATTATAATCTTTTTGTCCAGCTCCAACTGCTGCTGCCACAACAGTTCATTGCCCAACTCCTGCTCTGTTTGCCTTCAGCCTCCATAGACCTGGACTATAAACAAACCGATAAACCATCTCTCAGCCTCTGATTTAAGCAACTTTTTAATACTTGGAGATTCATTTTTGTGCCAATTCAGTTTGAAATCATTTTTATTTCCCACTAAACAGAAATAAGGAGG